ACAGGGTCATTAGTTTCTCTCTTCTGCACGATGTGTGTGTGCCTTTTAATTAAATAGTATCTGAGTCACACTTGCATGTGGAGAGTACAGTGTGCGGTGAAGGAGAGACAGGCAAACTGAAAATAAAACAATTTGAATTGATGACATTTGATGACTTAACTGTAAATTCAGAAAAAACAAAAACATCCAAAAAGCGGTAATCTGTGTCACAGCGAGTTCACAAGCCCTGCACCTACTCAGTAGTAAAGAGTATTGAGAAATCTGACAGAAAATAAACATTACATAATAGGTTGTGTCACCTTAGCCTAACGTTGGCTCCAGTATAGGACTCATAGGGCTTCTCCACCTGCATGAACTCAAAGTCGTAGCTTCTGTTCTGGGTGAGCTCTCCCGGTAAAGCCAACTCTTTGACCAGGTCCACAAACTCGTGGGTGTTGCTCTTATCAGAGAAAAGCTCTGAAATATAGCAGAGAGAATTCAGACTGGCTGAAGGTCTGATTGCTTTGAATTCACTTAAAAAAACAAACAAAAAAAACCCCCAAATCTGTATTTATTAGTTTTATTTGAGCATTTCATTCTCTTTCAACACACTGCACTCATTATCCTTGTCCCAAGGCAAATACAGTTGGAGGCGGGGGTTAGCGGCACTACGGCAAACCTGCACATGATAACCACATGTCCTGTTAAACCTTTCAGCCATGTGATAAAGCTACATTAACATTAGCATCCACCATGCTCACCTATCTGTCCAACAAACTCGATGCGGATCCCCTGGTGCTCCAGCCGCTTTCCTCCCTGCTTCACATTTAGATTCACCTAAAGAGGAAACATTTGTTGAGAACAAGTTTCTTCTTGCTTGCATGAATTGGTGCTATATAAATAAAAGTGGACTGAACAGAAAGATAATATTCTGACATGCTACCAGGATAATGTTCCTTTAAAGGGCTTTTCTTTTATGATTATTGTGCATATTTCTTTACAGCTAGCATATATTCCTATTTGCTTGCTGACTTTCAACAAACCTGTAATAATTTCTTCTCCAAACATAAATCTCCTCACATTTCTCTGCTTGACAGCTGTTAGGTAATCACGGTGAAAACTGTTTATTACAATCAACATCAATGGTGAATATCTTTCTGCTGTTACCACACTAACTGACCTTTTACTTGATTTTGAGTTGTGCTGGATAACAGAAGAAGTCAACAGTGAACAAGGCACATATCAGACTGCTCAATAGAGCTCAGCAACAGCAGACGCACATGTGTTAATCAGTTCTTCCCGAAGCCAAAGCAAGTCTTGCACGCTCATCAAAAGAATCGTAATTTCCCACTGGACTTAAAGCAATGAACCCAAAATAGACTGAGAAGTCCATTATACACTGACTGACTGAAACTATCTGCTGTGCAGAAAATGAGAACAAATTTAAGCTATGCTTCACATGTGCAGGACCCACATTGTGACATGTGATAAATGACGCAAAAACAGTTTACCTTTCCAGAAACCGACTCTCCATCGTAGAACAGGTAGTGTTTCTCCACTTTCCCATCTTCTGTTTTCAGCTCGGCTGTCTTTCTGTTCTCTGCATCATTCAGCAGTACATCTATCTCACAAACCGGCCCGAACAATCCTCCCAGGAAACTCTAGAAACGCAAAAACATTCAGAGGACAAAATTCAGAGCAATCAACATGCTATGTGATCAAACATATGCTGCTTTTAAAACAACTAAAGAGAAATTGCAGCTAGCTGTAATAAGAAGCCCTGAGCTGTGCTGTAGCTTCCATCAACATGAATCTGCCCTAAAGACAAATGACTTTGTTTACACACAACCCCAACAAAATGTTGCAGCGATAACAATGATAGTTATAGAGAGAGATGCCAGGTTAGTGTCCTCATCTGTGATGGAAGCTCTGACATGAATATCGCAAGTTAAAACCCACTATCTCACCTCCTACTCATTTATGGCATCTGTTATTGCCATAACAACCTATTCACCAGTCAGTATCTGCACAGTCGCATTATTTTCCTCTGAGCTGGCACAAAGTCACAAACAAATGCTTCAACATGCAGAAGCAGCAAATCACCAAGAATCAGCTCAGTCATCAAGTATTTATATAAGATGAGAATCAACACTGAAGTAAACTCTTCATAGAAACCCCCCTCCCCCCAAATAAAACAAATTATCAGCTACCCAATCAGTATTGAAAGCCGACCCTCGGATCAATAAGCGAACAACCCTTTGCCCTTAATCAGAAAATGAATTGGCTTAATTTCTACGGTTATTGCAGTAATTCAACATGCATGTGACGGCACAACTTCACTGAGCTAACGATCAGCAACGTCTGCTAACAGTGACATTTGTTTGAACCACTCATCTACCCGACTTTTTGACCGAACTCAAATACTTGCCTTATCAATCAACACGTTTAACTGCTGGCATCCTGCTGCTGGGCCATTAGCTAACCAAAACATGCCGATCATTGAGAAAGACGGCCTCCTAGCGATGCTAATTCGACCAGCCCAGCTAGCTTTCTTTACAGGGTTGAGTATTAAAATTAATTGCTTCCTCAGAAAAACGGAAACTCGTGTTAATGTTACATTTTCATGAACAACAAACACCAAACACCGCCTCTAATTTTACTGTAGCCTCACCAGCCAATGTTTGTTTTTACACTTACCATCTCGGCCGTCTAGACAGTTTTGCTAACAGATAGCCTCGCTTCGTGTAGCCAGTCTGTCACTGAACTAGGGCTAACCGTCATGTGACCCGAATCATGTGTATGTGGGCGGCCACGGATATGGAGGATTCGGGGTTGAAGGCACTCACTCAATACCACCTAACAATTAGAAAGAAAAGAAAAGCCATAACCTGTATAGGTAAGGCTGCTGGTTGAGTTCATGTATTTGCTGTTGGTGCAGACTTTAAAGGTAGTTTTTGTAGTTACTTTCTGCACATTTTAACTAAAACATTCACCACCAGGGGGCAGCATAATTCTAGTTTTCTTTTGTTTGTTTGTTTTTTGTTACCTCAATTTCCTCTATAGATTTAGCTTTATTGCCCAACCCCCATTGTAAATAAAAAACTATTCTTAAAGGTTTGCCTGATTAATTAAAGATTATCCTGACTTACTATAGCTTCTTGTCGTACAAGGTGTTTGCAAAACATCTAGTTCAGCTATACTTAATTGGAAAAAACCTTGACGTGTGTATGTCAGTATCAGTGGTGTAAAGCAAGGTGTGGATTCGTTGGCAAATATGAGGCATGTTTTGTAAGGGCAAAACCAAACCAAAAGATAATGCAACCTTAGAAACCAAGCGGGCTACACAGCGTGGACATGGCAGAAGCACTGACACAGCCAGTAGCATGTCTACAGGAAGGCAACATTTAAATGCGCTACAAGGGATGGGCAATTCCAGGCCCCGAGGGCCGGTGTCCTGCAGGTTTTAGATCTCACCTTGGGTCAATACACCTGAATCATATGATTAGTTCGTTACCAGGCCTCTGGAGAACTTCCAGACATGTTGAGGAGCTAATTTAGCCATTTAAATCAACTGTGTTGGTTGAAGGACACATCTAAAACGTGCAGGGACACCGGCCCTCGAGGCCTGGAGTTGCCCACCCCTGCGCTACATGGACAAAAGCGTTGGCTTGTTAGCTCTGTTGTGGACACTGACACAGAGAACTGGAGACTGGATGACCAACTCCTTCGTGTTATACTCATCATGTGTAGTTGGAATGCAATTTCTTGTCAGACAACTCCATGACATCTCAAAAAAATAGAGATGTCGTTGTACCCACCTGTCCACACGGATCTTTGTCTGATGATGAAATCTATGTCTCGATCCCAATACCAGCTGCTAAGCCATGGAAACCCACAGTGTGAAGCTCTTGGTGCATGGTTTTTATGCTGATGTTAACGCCAGAGGAGGTTTGGAGCGTTGCAGTAATGAAGTCAGCAAAGTGTTGGTGACTTTTATCCACTATAAACTTCAGCATTCATAACTTGGCATAGTCTGCCACTTCATGGCTGAGGAAATGCTTGTACTTTCCAATAATACCACTTAGAATTTATCGTGGCATATCCAGAAGGGAAGAAATAAACGGCTTAGTGCAAAGGTGGCATTTTAGTACAGTACAAAGCTAGCATAGCATGGCAAGGAAATTGATTTCCCCATTGAGACTAAAAACATATGAATTCATATGAAACATATGAAAATACGAGGAAGCCGTTTTACAGCTGTAAATTACATTCAGTGCCACTTGGTGGGCGAATAAATAATTTCAACAGTGTTCTAATATTGGCCACAAATTTATCAGTGGAAAATCTGAAGACAACCTACAACAGAAGATTGTTTCTGCCACTGAAAAAAAAGAATAGAAGTGAATAGAAATTTCAGGCTATTTTCTCAAAAGGAATAAAGTTAGAGTTTCAAGATATTTCTCCATTTTGATTATTTTCTCACGAGTCTGAAATTTTGAGATAGTAAACTTAATGTTTAATTATAGATGGCAAATATGTACTTTTTTTCTAGTGAAAATAGTTTCTGATGTTGCTTGCAAGTACCGTATAAAAAAATCAAACGCTTGAATAATAGAAGGTACCTCAGTTTAAATTACTGAGGAACTTGACATATATGAAAGCAGTTATGAAAACAGATAACACAGTAGTAGGGATAAAATAAACACTTTATTGGTAGAAGTTTTTTTCAAATTGAAATTACAGAGTCTGTTCAAATGCATGTGTGTTTATAGTACATATTTCAAATATGTTCTAACTCTAACTCTGGTTAGGACTTTCTGAACCCATTTTGGAGGGGTTTGCGTCTTAAAGATGATCTCATTTAAATCTTCTTAAATCTTAAATCTATTTTTCAATATTCTCAGGTTAGGCATAAAATGTTGCAGGATTTGTGAATAAAGGGATCAAATAATTTAAATAAGTGTTTCTAAGGAACAATGTTCCTTAAAACTAAAAAAAAAAATGTCTGGAGTAATGCAATGCATGGACAAAGGCATGCTTTTATTGCACTGGTATTACAATGATTTAAAAGAATATTTTTATTTATATTTAAAAAAGCATTTGAAAGCTTTTTTCCATAGGAAAGCACAATACTGGCACAATTATTTTCACATTGTTTACAGTCGTTGTTTTGGCCTTTCTGAAAATAATTAATAACAATAACACAGAGAGTACAAAAAATGGCATTTGTTTTTTCCCAGCAGGTGGAGTTTACTATAAGCCCAGACAGGGAATCAAATTAGATGCCAGCCTTGTTTATGTGCTTCGGAGTGGTTGGCAGTCCAGTCTACAGCTGCAGAAGGTGGTCTTCTTTGTAATCACTCTCATCGGGTTTTACCTCATCGCTTGTACGCCTGCTGGCGAACAGCCTCCTCAGGTCACTCATATCTTCAGAGGAGAAAGATAAACAAGGAGAAAGATCAAATTACATGGAGCAAACAAAAGAGAAAACACATGGATTCTACTGAATCCATGCGAATCCTGTCCTACAAAAAATACCTCCACTTTCTTTCCAGAGCATGCCAGAACCAGTCTCACCGAGGTTGCTCTTGTCCGCTATGTATGGACCTTCAGCTGCAGAGCCTTCATAACCACCAGAACCTTCCTCGCCCAGGAATATTCCAGTTGACTCGCTCAGTTTCGATTCCTCCTCCTCTGCCTCCTCCTCGTATTCCTGCTCTTCCTCATCGTTCTCCTCCATTGGTGAGTTCTCATCCTCCACAGGCTCTGCCTCCCTGAAAACACATAAGAAGTGAGATAGAGAGATTAGCTGATAAATGTCTCTTCTTTCTCTTTCTGCTGCTCCTTTTACGGGTCGCCACAACAGATCATCTGCCTCCACACGTCTAAACCATCTCAGCCTTCCTGCATTTACTTTTTTGATTTTCTTGATTTTGTGAAGCACTTTGGCCACCTCTGGTTCTAAATGTGCTATACAAATAAAGTTGTACTTTGTCTCCCAACTCCTCTCCCTGAGCTGTCCCTCTGATGTACTCCTTTATAATCCTGCCCAATGAAAACCTTCACCTCTTCAGCTGTGCCTCCTGTTTTGTGTTAGTGCCATCATCTCTAAAACATATATAATAGTAGGTCTCTCTACCTTTTGGTAAGTCTTCTCTTTTTCCTCTTGCGGCTGTCTTTGCATCTCCAAACTTTGCTCTGATTTGAGACTTTAATATTTGTCTGCATGATAACAACTCCATGAACAGGGATTGAACTATACTAAAACATCCACATTTTTTTTCCTGGCTGAAAGTTTGGGATTTTACTCTAGTCTTTGTTTTTTTTCTTACAACCAGCACAGAACGTGGGAAGCTGTTTGGCAGCAGAGAGTGTAAAAAGCATTTGAGATCTCTAAGACAGCAAAGTGTCTGATAACAAAACTATCGACTTTACAACTTTGAGCTGCTGTTGTTAACTTGCCATCTATATCTCCACCACTTCAATCACGTTATTTCCTGTCCTCTTCTGCTTTTACACACCTACCAACAACTTGAATTTCATTCTGACTGCATCATTAAGAACGTTTCTACAGTCTTGTAGAGCTTGAGCTTGCTTGCGTATTTGCTTATGTATATCTTTATATATCTTTAGTTTGAGAATCTAACTTGAACTGCTTCGTCAGTGGGCTTTCTTTTCCGGGTTGTTGAAATAAATAACTTCATATTAACTAATGATACAAGTAATACATATATAATCCTGTGCTTCTCAGATAGGATTATCCAAAGAGCTTGACACATACAAAAATACAAAACAATAGACCAGAAGCAACAGCCCACTTCCTCTGTACACTTCCTCGTGACTTCCCGTTCAAGGCGTGCTGTAAAAAGGACGGCTGCTGCGGAAGCTCCGGTGATTATAAGCAAGCTTCAGCGAAAAGACTTAAACAAGCCAGACGCTGTTCATATTTAGAGGTTTTTTTTTTTACATTTTATCACAATGTTAACAGCTGAACCTTTTTACCTGCTACCCTCTAACTCTTGTCTTTGTGTCTGTAATGAGTTTATGGCATGTTTTCTATACACACCTGTGAAATCGCAGAACATGTGAAATTCATCCAAGTTTTTATTAAGTTATCTGAAGGTTTGTGTTGTCACAGACGTTTCAGTAACACGATAGAAGGACTCTTACTGAGAAAAATGTAATCTGGGATGTTCACTTTTGAAAGATTTCCTTTATTTTTGAATATAATTTTGTTAACTGAAAGGATTGACATTAAGAGGAACTTTAAAAGAGGAAACTGAGGGCGAAGACCAATATTGTGATACTCTTACTTTTTTTTTTAGAGGTCACACATATTAAAATATCAGTTTTTTCACAGACACGTTTTATGCTAAACAGAAATTCAAACACATGCTGCTTTTTTACCAGCTCATTAATTAATTTCTAAGTTTAGTAAAATTTCACTAAGTAGGTTTTTAATGTATGTTTTAGAATCTTTATACATAAGCATTTGTCCTCCTAGGATACACAGTATACACAATCCTGCTGAATCCTGCTGAAATGATGAAATGAGCCATTTTTCCTCCGAAACCTACCCACAGTGTCTCTGCATCTGTCTTAATACCCTGTTGCAACAAGCGATGAGTTCACTTCCTCTGTGCTGAAGTCTGCAGTAAGTAGAGCTCAAGTTTGGAGTCTCTTTTATAATCAAATATATGTGAGTTACTATGTTGATATAATGCAGAATGCATTTTTATTCAAATGTATCACTTTATACCATAAAATGCAATTTATTTGGAAGTGTCTTAATGTTTTGTGGACTTGGCAACTCTGACCTCCAGGGTATGCACATTTTCAAGATATGTATACTTTGGATAAAGTTAAAATAATCTAAATTATTTCCTGCGCAGAGAAGGAACCAACATTCCTTGCATTCATTTCAGACTATCAGACATCAGCTCATTTAAGTTCTAAATATTTCTGTGTCTTGTGAAGAAAAAGATCATCAACTATTGTGTTTTTTTTTTTTCTTTCTTTAGTCCAGCTGTAACCTCCCTGCCCTTTCTCTGGTTACTCTCTTTCTTTATCCTCCACGTTGTCTTCTATTTTGGCTTTTCTTGGCCACCTACCTCACACTTATATACTCTCAAACGCACAAGATAAGAAAACACACAGGCAAGCATGCAGAGAGAGCCTGCACTGCTCACCAAGGTGACAAAGCCAGTGCAGCATCAGCATTTTTCATATTTAAAGTCAGCTTTTGTCTAAAAACAGCACTCTCTTGTTTTTTTCAGACCCAACTGAACATTGATGTGAACTCGCTGCCACCTCCATCCTCTGAGCAGCTCACAAATCAAAAAAAAAAAAAAAAAAAAAAAAAAATCTTCACATACCAGATGTGAACAGACTACGACACGTGAACACTTACAGATACTCTGCAGCAGAAGCAGGCAGTTTTGATGGCAGATCTGGACTCCACTCCATCTCTGGGCTTTGTTGAGTCACACAGTTGGCCTGGTCACCATCAGGGTTACATCTCACAAACTTATACACAGCAGTCCTTGGTGCTCCTGGAGACAGACAAGTGTAGATAACATTTTATTATTTTGCCCCGTTAATAGTACATATTACCTTTATTCACACACTCGGGGAACATTTCTGGATATATTTAGTGTTCGTGATCTCCACGTTTGGACGTTTTTAAGATTACAACATTAGAGTAAAGTAACGGTTTTCTCAAAGGGCTTCAGAGCTGTTTATTTTCTTAAGAAATTAGTTAAAAGAGGAAGTAGGAGAATTGCAACTTTTTCTCCACGCATTGCAGCACGTTGATCGTGGAGGTTGTGTGATGCTAAAACCATTAAGAGTTGAGTCATTCCAACAAATATTAAATATTTGAGAAATTGTAACAAGTATTTGGTTGGTCTGACGATTTGTTTGCCCTCTCTAACTCTTTTTGTAAATTTTTATTAGAAAAGCGCCTGTGCTGCTGAAGCTGTACTGATAATTATTTATTACATCTATACTACTGGCAAAGATAATCTATCACTATCTGTTATTCAGGCAATTAAGATGTGGAAGTTAGACAGCTGGGTTCTTTGCACCACAGGCTTCCTGTCATAAGGCTGTCACAGTAAATATACATGTGAACACTCAGTGGCCACTGATGATAATCTGATGAGTATAAGTGATGGTGTCATGTGCCCATGTGCCCATAGTGCTTTTGGGTGTGTTAATATTGAACACCCAAAATAAAATAAAGTCTAGTATTTATTTTTTTTATAATCATGCAGCCAAAAGAAAGAAAATTCTTAGATGATCAATATCAACACATGAAAATCTGCTATGACTGTAAAATTACTTACAAACTTTTTAAGTATTTAACTCAGTGGATAAAAACATAAAAGTCTTATTATCATAAATACAATACAGCCACGTGTACACGGAACGTTATCTAATAGTGTCTGATTAATTGGGGCCTCAGGGGGGTTAAAATGTGGCTATTTAGTATCGGATATATTTTACGCAAAATGGTTTGTCCATTCCGTTTCACTAATCTCTCTCTCCGTCTCTACATTTATATTTAAAAAGTGTTCAAGAAGTATCGTCGAAACGTAACTCGGAAAATGAAACGCCTTTGTTTTTTTCCGATACCTGGAGTCCTACCATTACATCATGGCCTGTTACTGTAAAGCACGCAGCATCTATGTTATGTACATGTATTTTCTTTTATATATATATATACATATATTCGATTTTATAGGGGTTTTGAAGTCTAATGCTCAACTTGATTGGATGCTGATCGACTCTGAGAACCCTGGATTGATTAAATGAGTCATAGAGACTTACAGTAATCACAGTATGCTGACGCAGAGTTGTATACCAGTGAAGTGGAACAGTTCCTATTTTTTTGCTTGTCAATCAGAAACCCCGGAGGGCCCTGGGATTCCCAGTGACTTTCTATGTGAGGATGTTCCCGGAAAGCACTTAAGCTGTCAGGATGGTAAACATGTCCACTTGTTGTTTCCTCAACAACCTGACCCGATAAAGTATACTGCGACATCAATCCCGGTAAAAAAATAAAAATAAAAAAAAAAGAGGCACAAAGTAGATTTAATTGTCGACTTACCCTTTGTGCTATGTAAGGCGAGGCAGGAGATGAGGAGGAGAAGAATCAGTTTCATCTTGTTCAATTTGTCTCTCTTTAGTAAAACAGGAAAATGTCCTCCTGAAGGCAGTCCCTTTCTGAGCTCAAGCTTTGCGTTGTGAAGTATAACTGTAAACTGCCTCAGACAGCCAAACTCCCCCTGAAGAGGCTCAGCCCTCCGTGTGCGTCATGGTTTCCTGAGTCTTCTTGTGTAGAAAATAAGTGGCTGAAACATCTTCCTGAGTGGAAACTTTAGCATCAGATATGAGGTCTGAGTTTGCGCAACTGCAAACTTGGACGAAGGAAATGCCGAATAATAGCAGCAAACATTCAGATCTGTACGATTTTTTATAATGTGAAAGGAAGCGATAATTTGCCCTAATTGACTGCCGAGCCACTTCATGTAGAGATATGGACACGATAGCATCAAAGGGATCTTCTTCTTTCAGATTAACTCCCTTACCTTCAGTTGACTCTGTTCTTTTTACTTCTCTCAGTTCAGTTCACCTCCAAAAAAGTAATTTTACGCTACCTTGGCGCGCCTATGTGCGCGCGTGTGTTTGTGTAAGTGTGTGAGAGATTTCTTTCTCACTTTTTATTTCACCCACCTTACTTAGCTTCACCTAATTTCGCAGAAGCGGAGAAATGGAAAGGGGGACAGAGGTATCATTCAGCAGCTTTAAACCATTAACAGAACCTTTGCTGTGTTAAATTATTTACACTCCAAATGCCAAAGCAACAGCCTCATCTCCCGAGATATCAACAGTACTCCCATTATCACTGACCTGTCTGCTCTTCATATGTTTAGCTTGGCTCCTTCAGTGTGAGTTAATGTGGCCTGCCATTCTTTTGATTCTGTGCCTTTTATGTGCCTCCACATGTCCGGCAGACGCTTATGTTGGTCAGTAATGCAATTAAATGCATTCACTGTTTTGTTTTCTACAATTTGATGCACTATTTTTCAGGAGGAGGAGAATTTGCTCCATTGTATGTCAGAGGATACATGTTTTATTCAAATAAAATATATTTTTTAAATGATGTAGTCCCGATAACATGTGGATGATCATTATAACACTGAATTGAGCTACTTTTTGAACTTTAAGGATCAACTCTGTCTTTCTCTTTACTACGGAAGACTGTACAGGTTGAGACAGTTTTGGTTGCTGACATCTGGTGCGTTTCTTAGCCTCAAGCATATAAGGGGATGACTCAGAAGCTAATCAGAGATGCAGGTAAGACATATATAAAAAAAATTGTGTCACAAGCTTGTGAGGAGAACACATGTGATTTTAAGAAAGAGTTGTTTCTTTTGAACAAGCTGACATCATTGAACAAATCTTGGATCAGGACGTCAGGTCATATTTCAGGACTGATGAACAGCTAAGATAAGTTAAGATAAGATAGATCTTTATTGTCACTGTTACCAGAACAATGAAACACAGATTAGTAAACACAAGATTAGTAAAAAATGCTAGAACATTAGTAAGAAATGTGCAAGTCCGGTAGCTCTAATGCAGGTATTTTGGGGGAAATCCAGGTATTGTAATTGAATTAGAGCTCTCAGACCATACACGTTTGTTGGATGAGCTTTACCTTTGTCAGAAAATAAAAGAAGTGAGAGTTGAGAAGAGTTTAGTTGTGGCTACTCTAAATGTGAAATGAACCAGGGATTGTTAACATTTAAAGTTATTTAATCATTTCATTAAATATCAGTTTTAGTTAAAAGGCAATATTCAAACACATTCCAAATTTTGACCGTAACACGAAGAAGAAATGTAAGCTTTATTTAAGTCATACTATACTCTACATGTACTGCATGTTTTGAGTACTTAACCTAAATGTAAAAGAAAATTCTGTGTTTTTTTCATGCTTTGCCTGAATTCTGGGGAAATTATTGATGGTTTCATGGAAGTTTATTGTAGCTTCAAATTATTCCTGACGAAACAAACTGATAACATGATTGTGGTATCATTAGTGTCACAACATCAGCACGTTACCCCGCCTTACTGCATCAGATGGTGTTCTAATCCCATACACGTTTTCTTGTAAAGTACAAACCGTCCTCAGTTGTATCTGAGAAAAGAAAATAATGAAGAGACTGGATTTCCGCCGTTAACAAAAAAAAAGGGGATATTTCTTCATCTTCCCTGACTATGCTGACTTAAAGATTTGATTTCCTCGTGTGGGTTATATGAAACATCACACCGGGTTGAATTTGTGACGTCTGGATGGACGTTTTGTGGAACAGCCTAACACAGTGACCCAGTGCGCATCTGTGTGGGTGCTTCCGTTCATGTTACTGTCAGCAGTCTTACTCAAATATTTGTTAAGTTCTTAGACAAAGGCAGAAGTGGCACAGTGGGACAAAGACTGCATTCCTTTCTTTGGCTTTGTTGTGAAAAAAAACAAGGGATCAATCATTTTAATTCAGTTCAGTTTAGTGTATACAGTTGTCAGCTTTACAGCAGTTTACTCTTTCCTTCTTCTCTCTCTTCTTTTTCTGCCTGTTTCAGCTGACACATCAGTAGGAAGTGGTAACATCAGTTGCTATCATTTTCTTCAGGAAATGACACACTAGCCTGCCCAGCCTTGCCTCAAACACACACATACGCACAGGCATACATGAACTTATTTATGAGGCTCATATATCCGCTTATACACAATCCTGCTCTTCTCTGCAATACTAAATATTAGAGTTATTTGAAACAAAGCACTGTCTATAAATTCACTAACATTTGTTGCAGTGCATGTGTTCCCCTGCACTAGCCAGTATGAACTATATCTATAAACAGTCAGCTTGGTTTCTATCCCCACAACTATTGCACTGTGTGGGATTCGAGTCTATTGTCTGGGTGACAAGAGTTTATGGCAACACAGACTGTCTTATTTTTACACTCTCAAACACAGACAGACAGCAAATGCAAACACAGCCATTAACATATGCGCAAATCGACCAGGATCATTTTACCAGTCCAAGTCGGAGTTTGCGTAGTTACTGATAACCATAAGAACTGATTAACCCATTTTCTTTATAGAAATGCTTCTGCTTCTGGATTCGTGAACCATCTCTGTGTCGTAGACAGTCAAAGACAAGAATCTGCAGCGCCATATTGCCTTCCCCTCCTCCTGCTTTGTCTGATCCTAGGAGCGTACGTCAGGTCTGTGAATGCAAACTGAAACTTAACAGTTTAAAAGAAAGAAAACAAAAAAGGTCCTCGTGAATTTTGCAAGTTCACACACATATTAAAACACACTCATTGGCTTTTGTTTGCTTTCTTTTTGCAGTGTCGCCAGTCTTAAGCTCAATCGCACTAATAGAACCAGAGAAAAACATCAGAATGAATCAAATGTTAAAAAAATAGAAGTTTAAGGCACTCACTGGGATGATACATTTGAATTATAAATACATTAAACTTACTTAATTTTTGTGCATCACATTTGTTTTAATTGTATAAATGTTTAACCATTAACTACAATTATTTTCACAGAAATTCTTTCCACTTCATAAAAAGTGAAAAATCTTTCAGACCTCTTTAGGTGTCTTAATTTATATTCGAATGCTTGGCAATTCTACAAATATATAGTCATGTGGAAAAAAAATGTTTCCACAGTACTCTTTGCAGTCCTGTGGAAACTAAATACACCCCGTAATTCAGTAGCTTATAAAACCACCTGCAGCAACAATAATTTCAAGTAACTGTTTTCTATGTGACTTAATCAACCTCTCACATTACTGTTTTAGAAGTTTTAGCCTGCATTGTTGCTTCAGATCATTGAGGTTTGTGGGCATTTGTTTATGTACAGCACTCTTAAGGTCCCACCACAGGATTTCAATCAGTCTAAGGTCTGGACTTTGCAACATTTTGAGTCTTTCTTTTTCAGCTACTCTGCTTTACATTTGCTGCTGTGATCTTCGTGCTGTTGCAGTTTCAGCCAGGCTGTAACTGAATACTTTGGTACACAGAGGAGTTCATAATCGGGTCCCGTGGCTGCAATACAAGCTCAAATCATCTGGCCAGCATCGTGTTTGACCTTTGCTATGTGTGCAGTTTGGTTCTCACCAAATTTTGCATTAACTGTACATTATAGCCAAACAAACATCTGCACTTTGGTCTCACCTGTCTACAGGACATTTTTCCAGAAGTCCTTAGCTTTGTTTAGAGTCAGCCTTTCACACCAAAGTCATATTCTGCTTCGAGAGAAGAGGCTTCCAAACAAGAAATACGTGCTCCCAAAAGGTTGATTCTGTTCATCTGGATGTAGCATTTTCAGTGGGGAAAATGTTTCGTCACTCATCCAAGTGACTTCTTCAGTCTCAGCTGACTGCAGGTTTCCCCAACCTTATAAACTGTACATTTACAAATAACTGAAACTAGCCCACTGAATGAACAATGGACTGTGAGGTCCATTGTTCATGAGCCCACGGTTCATTCAGTTGGCTAGTTTCAGTTATTTGTAAATGTACAGTTTATAATGTTGGGGAAACCTGCAGTCAGCTGAGACTGAAGAAGTCACTTGGATGAGTGGATGACTTAGATTATTTACTTACCCAGATGACTGAGCATGCATCAAGACGAAGTCATACCTGCTCCATGTTTTTTGTCATTTTAATGTCTAGAATTATAAAATGTCTGCTTTTTAGAGTTGGTCACTCTTGTCTACATTTGATTAGCAGCACCTGGCTACTCCTGACCCTCTTGATTCCTCTGAAAACAATCTTGTAAAAACGTTCTTTTCACATGAATGTAAACAAAAACCTGGAATTTCTATGAGCCTGAATATTTCTCCGTAAGTGTGCAGCATTTTCCGCTAAGCGCTCTTGAACAGGTTCTTGCTCACAGTCTATTAGTGGTAATCGTGTGATGCCGAGCAGGTTTGCCGGTGCATGTTTTGACAAGTATTAAATGGGGAGCATGAAAGCAGAAATTGGGCCGTGGTATGCTTTTACATAATGTGATAAAAACACAAATACTCTCTTATGGCAAAGTATTTTTTATTTGCATGCTTGTGTAAGTGGGTAAGTGGTAAGGAGCTGACGCAGAGGGTAAAGGATGTAACGATGTTCGTTATTTCCCAAAATAAATGTGATAAATAGATGTTGGTTCTTTGGAAAGATTACGACATGGATTTGTGATACATC